AATCCCAAGGCGGAATTAAGATTGCCGGAAGAAATATCAACAACCTCCGATATGCAGATGATACCACTCTGATGGCAGAAAGTGAGGAGGAATTTAAGAACCTCTTGATGAGAGTGCAAAAAATTGTCTGAAGCTCAACATCAAAAAAGCTAAGATCATGGCCACTAGTCCCATCACCTCCTGGCAAATGGAAAGGAAAGATATGGAGGCAGTGATAGATTTTACTTTCTTGGGCTCCATGATCACTGCAGATGGTGACAGCAACCACAAAATTAAAACACGCCTGCTTCTTGGGAGGAAAGCAATGCCAAACCTAGACAGCATCTTAAAAAGCAGAGACATCACCTTGCTGACAAAGGTCCGCATAGTCAAAGCTATGGTTTTCCCTTTAGTGATATATGGAAGTGAGCTGGACCATAAAGAAGGCTGACCGCTGAAGAATTGAAGCTTTTGAATTGTGGTGCTGGAGGAGACTCTTGAGAGTCCCCTGGATTGCAAGGAGAACAAACCTATCCATTTTGAAGGATATCAACCCTGAGTGTTCAGTGGAAGGACAGATTCCGAAGCTGAGGCTCCAATACTGTACTTTGGCCATCTCATGAGAAGACTCCCTGGAAAAGACCCTGATGTTGGGAAAGTGTGAAGGCAAGAGGAGAAGGGGACAACAGAGGATGGGATGGTTGGACAGTGTCATCGAAGCTACCAACATGAATTTGACCCAACTCTGGGAGGCAGTGGAAGACAGGAGAGCCTGGCTTGCTCTGGTCCATGGGGTCATGAAGAATCAGACATGACTTAATGAGTAAACAACAACAACAAAATTCAATGAATATCAGAAGTGATACATGCCAGGCAAGAGTAACCATATTCTGGGGACTGCTGTTTGGAAGTACGATGTTCTGTTTTATTCTGCTATTTGTTATTATGAAAAGAATATGTTTTTTTTAAAAAAAGATTCACAGCTTATTGTAATACCTAAATCCAGATGGATGTTCTTAAACTATAGTTTATTCAAGTAACCTTACTTCAGGCTTTATGATGCTAGCTTATTTCAACAAATTATTGTCAAAATGAACAACTTAAAGTTTGATATCACATGAATCACATTTTATACTGTATTAATGAATTGGGTCTGTAGGGATAGGATAAAGAAATATATGATAGTATGATTCATCACCTTATACCCTGCTTGATGAAATAATGAATTTGACTTTATAGTGTAAATAGATTTAATGTATGTCAGTATAAAATAGTCTTGAAAATAAGCCTATTTCTCCTCTGTATATGCTGAATTTATCAAAAGCATATGCTAAATTATTTCTTAATAATGTTTTTGCATCTCTGGCTGAAATCCTGTCACTTTAACTTGTACTGAGTAAGGCTAATAACATTATCAGCTGTAGAAATTTTTCAGAAATAAAAAAATTTCAGATCCCCCTGGAGATCCTTAAGTGCCCTTGGGATCCCTTTCATTTTGATGAAGCCAGTGGAGACTGTGGGACATGGATTGGGGGAGAGTCTTTAATTTCCAAAAATTATCAGTGCCAGTAAAAATCACCCTAGTGGTAGTAACTTTAGGTAATTAAAGCCTTCCTTCCGTCCTTTGACCCCCATTGGCTTCCCTACAAGGAAGGGGATCCCAAGGGAGCCCCAGGACCTTCAGAGGAGGGAATCGGGAAATTTTTATATCCAAAAATTGCTGCAGCTGATTACATCAGCTTTACATGGTGTAAGCTAAAGCAACAAGATTCCAGCCTCTGCATGACAATGTCTAGCCCTATGTGACCAATGTTAAATGAAAACTGCTAGAAAGTAAACAAGATGCATCTGGAGTACAGAACACAGTGGGTAACCAGATGCTTTGGAAATTTCTGTAACTGTTACCAATTATTCAGTGTTTAATTCTAGTTAATAAATGGATTCATTTTAACCCAGGAAACATCAGCCTCAGCCAGGAATCTTCTGTTCTACAGCTGCATCTGATACACAGGCCTTTAAAAGAGGCTGCAATGTATGTGGCGCAGTGTTCATATTTTTGGCATAGTTAGTTATGGCCTGGTTTTCTTCCAGGAAACAGACTTCCACACACATCGAGTAGTTGGCCATCATGCGGAAGCTTGTTTCCTCCAACAAATTACTTTTTCTCGATTTGAAAAATACCATTTTCTGGTGGTAGTGCAAAATAAAAGTGTTCTGTCCTTTGCTATATGGAGAACCATTCTCAAGATGCTTAATGTGACCCAGCGTGGCATGATGTGTGATGAATTGGTAACCTCAGACAGTCTCAGTGTAGACACGGCAATATGTTTGTATGCAGAAATAAGCTCCAAAAACATCAAAAACTCTCTATATATCAACTCTATATATATCAAATCAACTACAGAGCCTTCAAGAAATAGGGTTGAAATACAGCTATAATGGAATAAGATTCATGGCTCTGTAGTTGATTTGCTCCTTCATAGTAAAATAGTACAGTACACTTACTATCTATTTTCATTGGGCCACTGGTGTCCAAAAATTTGTCAACCATTACCTTTCTAGAACAATTTTTTTTCTAAAGTCCTTGCAGCCAAAAACATCCTCTGTATAAGAAAGCCAAGTGAAATGAAATAATTCTGTATTTGCTTATGTAAAAGTAAAGCCAGTTGAATTTAAAATGTTTTGGAGCTATTTGCTCAAAAGAGGAATCTATTGGACAAATACAGTTTCACAGCCACTCTGTATATCAGTAATTAACCAACTCACAAAAACGGGAAAATGTAAGTGGTCCAGAAAAGTAGTGATGCAACTGTAATGCTAATCATGGAAAAAAGGGTGGGGGAGTAGCATAAACATCTGTTGGAGAAATTGTATGCTTTCCTATGTGTGTTTTAGATTATTTTGTTTAGGATTTTCTACTACTCTTGTATACCTGGTTCTGGAATCTATAGACATATGAAGAAGTTTTGTTTTGTTTTTGTCTTCTAATTAGTATGGATTTTTCCCCCTTTTCTTCCTTTTCTAGGGACAGTATAGACCTTCTGAATTGCTGTGCCCAGAAACCTATGTCTGGGTACCAGTTGAGCAGTGCCTGCCTTCTCTTGAACGTTCAAAATATTGTCGCTTCAATCAAGACGTAAAAGCAGGTGGGCATGAAACTCATTTTTTGGTTCACTGCCACTTTAGAAAACTTTCTCACTATCAGGATCACATTTAGTTTGTCAATGTTTATTATAGGAAGTATGGGTCAAGTTGATTTTGCTATAAATCAGGGTTGGACAACTTTAAAAAGGTACTTAGATTTTTTAATAATAAAAAACTGTGGCCCTAGTCTTGAACCACAGCTCCCATCTGCCCTACTCATTCATGCTATAAATGGATTGGCAATGTGGACATCCATGGAGTCCAAAGTATACTTTCTTTTTTTAAGTAATTCTACACACTCAGTGCTCCAGTCCATATATGCACCTGACCATTGCTGAAACAGTGCAGTGGTGGTGTAATAATGATGGTCCACACATACAAGCAGTGACAAAGACTGAATGCAAGAGGGACTTCAGCAATTTCAACAAATAGGACATTCCTACGAAGGGTGATGGCACATACTGGATGTTCTGTGTGGAGATAGAAGGGGCATATGCCACTCAACCATTGTTTTATTAATTAACTATTTATGGGAAATCTGTGAACCAGGACACAATTTAATGGTCTTACACAGTACCAATCTTAATAAATGTTATTGGGCCTGTGGAGGTCATATATTTGCCTGAATAAATATTTCTAAAATTTTGAGACTCTTCTAGACACCAAGCAACACATAAAATCTTGATTTTCTCTGTGTTGTACCATTTTCTAGAATGATTTTGGTTTAAAACCAAATAGTTCTTAATCTAAACACAAAGATGTTTTTTTGGAATGACGACCAGTTGTCCAGAGTCAGTCATAGAGTAGCATGGTGTGTTGTGTTGTTGGGATTTATTTTGTTCCAGCTAATATATACAATCTGAATCTATTGTCAACAATGGCACTATAGAATTAGAGAACAGTGGATAGGAGGGATCACAGACTGAAAGACAAAACACTTGGGTTCAGGACAAGCAGGTTGTCATTTCTTCTCTGCCTTAGAGTTGTGCTACCTTTTATAAATTGCCTGCAGAAGACTGGTGGTAAAAGTAAACTAGTACCCAACATGGCAGCATAATGGTTTTTTGAAGAAACTCAACACAAGTCTGAAGAATATAAACTTCTGTGTCCATCATTTGGAAATGATAAACTATAAAAATCGGCATCTCTGTCCATACTAAATATATCAGCTCAGACACAATCTGAATTCAGACTTGTGTCCTGTGGTTTAAGGAAATTAAAACATAGCTACCTGCTGAACAGCAGAAGGCATGCTGTGAGCTACAGTCATTTGAGGCTTGTGTAGCTGCTAGCTTCAAGGAAGCAGTACTCCATTCCAGGGCCAGTTTCCTGCAGAACACCTTCTTACAGTTGTCAGTAAAATAAGTCTGTTAATTAAAATACAGTGAGCATAAACATTGGGTTAGACAGACAATGGTATGTTCTGTTTCTTATGGAATGGCTTTTCCTAACAAGGCCTGTAGGTATCATACTGTAATCATTCATAACATAGCACTAGGGACTTGCCAGTTCATAAAGTATTAGGCAGAGCTGTTGAGAACCTGAGAGAGTAGTTTATATTTTAGGATAGTTTATATTTTTCTCTCTCTAGCTGCAAACTACCCCAGAAGTCTGCAACCTCTCTTGAATTTTTCACGGCAAGATAATTGTCTCAAAAATAATTCCCCCACCCCACTGGCTGAGGCAGCAGAGACAGAAGAACAATTTATTCTGTTGGCTATATTTGGCTATCTTGTGAAGAGTTGTTTGACTGTTTTTAATCTTTCGTCATCCAGAGTGATAGTTTAAATATTTTTAAAGGCTTCCCTATAGGTTATTATTTCAGAACGGTGTGCTGAGATAGGAGTGTATGGATTTCATTATAAGTTGATTATCCTTTTGTATAAAATATTTAAATTACACAGCTAACTTTACAGTCCGAAAATTTAAATAATTCCTTTATGAAGCCAGCTAAAGAATGTAAGAAACAAAGTTACTAACAAAGGAAGGGATGTAGTTCTTCAGAAATGTCTGTATTTCTGACAGCATTCTGGCATGGAAAGTACAGAAGGTAATAATGAATCTGTTTCTGATTCAAGACTTCCTATAAGCTCTATCCTGACATACCTGAAACAATGGGGGGGGTTTCCTAAATGTGTGGTTAAGATGGGGGGCATGCACACAAACTATACATCCCCACCCAGAAGTCAGTACAAAACATATTCAAGTTATTTGAGTTGTAGACCTAGCACATAGTGATATTTGATAAATTGAAGATTGTATAGCTGTGCTAAAAGTTTTAAAGGTATTATCTTAATGCCACACTTCTCAAGTGGTAAAACACATCAGTGAGATACAGTTAATAAACTGATTTGTGGCTTCAGTTATAACTCATGGGATTTTTTTGGGTACAGATTTCTAAATGTGTCATGGTTTTTGAAGTGAATAATTAACATGCCAGAATCAAAACAGGATACATGCCAGAATACCTTGCTGAAGTCAGGAGCTACATTTGCATTTTTTAAAAATTGCACTAAATTGTAACAGAAATAATTTAACAACACTTGATGCTTAGTGGAACATTTGTCCATTAACACAAAAGGAGGGGGGGAGGGAAGGAAGGACAGACATATTTGCATTTATTCCAAGTTTCCTTGAGTAGGTACAGAAGGCAAAAGTTAGTGAAACCTTGGAAGGTTAGTTACCTTCCAAGCACAAACACTGTGGCTGAAATTGAGAAGTTCTTGCCCTACATGATACCAAGAAGGAAATTGCATTGATTATTCCCAGCAACCTTTTCAGCTTTTTACATTTTGGAACTTGCATCTGTTTTTAATTAAGTTTATAAACACTTGAAGGCAATTGAAGTTCATAATCCGGCATGATCCTTGGTCATAAAATATGTTTAAACAGCAGAGATAGTGCTAATGAGCTATATCCAAACTAATTTGTCAATTCCACTTCTAGTATGCAAAGGAAATGATAATAGGTAGGCAACTTTCGAATCACTGACCTTGTTAAATAATTCTAGCTATGCTGTGATTTAGCAGTGAGAAAAGAATATCATTATTGAATCACTGTTTATTTTCCAAGCACAAAAATGTTAATGCTTACTAATAATTGGTCATATTCCAAATAAATGGCATGGGAGATTGTAAATGTGTTGGTCATAACTTCATAAGCTTTCAAATTCCAGCCAACGTCTCTTCCTGGATCTATCTTGGAGGAAAAAAGAATCACATGGAAACCAGCATTACTGTAATGTGTTCAACATGTATGCTTTCACAAGAATCACTCCAGAAGCATTTGCTGAGAAGCAAACTCTGTGGAAAGGTCTAAAGATCACTTTAAAATCACAGGGTATTCCACTGGGTTGAAGGATGATTGACCGACTGATTTCATTCTAATGCTTTTAATAAGCTTTCACAGATATAACTCAAAAGCATTTATGTTCTTGTGACGTATGTTGTGTTTTGGGGCAGGAGAGGAGTCAGCAGGTTATTTGCTTCCCTGTGATTTTCTACTTTTATCTCATTGTTCAGTTGATGCAAATCCAGCAGTCTGCTGCTATGGAGTCACAATCGGCTATGTAATAATCTTTTTGAGGTGGACATGTGTACCCAAGGAAACTGCACATATGATCAGAAACACACACACCAGACTCAGTATTGGTTTAGTAGTTATAATGTGCAGCATTTCCGAAAGAAAGCTATCACTGGTGATGATGAAACCTTGTTTTGCATACTGCTGTTTACCTACAGGGTTAATAAACACTAGCCCTAGCTGTCTCTCTTGAAAATGTGATACCTTGCATTGGTCACACCCACACACACACACAATGTATAAACTTTGAATGAGCATTTCTAGAATTGTGAATATCTAATTTTTGTTTCTTTTCCTGCTTGCCTGGTTTCTGTATCACAGTGATTTTATTTGTGAATATATATTTTATTGTCCGTTTTAATAACATGCTTTTTATCTGATTCTCCTCTCTTTTTGTCTTATTGAGCTTCTATTTTATATTTAATCTTTCTTTGACAAAGATGTTTTGCAGTGCATAAAGAACCTTGTGCTCATGAAGTGATAAAAACTGATAATAGTTCTTATGACAGACCATGGAGCACCACAGACCACAGCATAATTGAATCCAGTGGCTTCAATCAAGTGTCAGAATCCTCTTTAAACATTTTGTTGTGGAGTGGCAAAAGTAAATAGGTCTTCAAGGCCATGAAGTTGGCACAAATTGATCTCTGTAACTGAATGGAAGGCAAGATGGTGAAAGTGATCAGTGGCAAGACTAAAATTTAACACATATTTTAATAGCAGTGTAACACACGGGCTACAGTTGTGTCAACTGCTGTACCAGGGCAGTGACTCATAGGAAACAAACACAAGTTTGATTGAATCAGCATGTGCTGGAACAACTTGATTGTTGGCTTTCTTAGCAGGCTAGTTCTGCTGTTGCCAGATGGGCATCCATCAGCACTTTTGTGTCGTGGCCATGGTACATAGCTCTTCCATTTATAAAGGCAATTATATTGTGCTTTCTAATGAGGAAGGACGGAGCAAAGCAAATGGCTTTGTACTAGGTCAGCATCATAGCAATACTGGAGAGTGACACTCTGGATTGCAAGCATTGCTTGAGGAGCAGCATGATCTAGTGTTTGTCTGCTAATTAACATGCTTTTTTTCCACAAGGGAGAAATAATACTGTTCTTTATGTTGGTTTTGGGATAACAGTAACACTAACCCAACCAAATATGCAGCATAGATGGCTTCTTAGGCTGTCAGAATCCATGAAGTCCAAGCTGAAGAGAATGTGCTAGGAGGTATGTAATATCACCCTGGCCCCCAATCCTTACATCAGCATGGTTGATGGGGGTTGGGGGTAAATGTCCTACCTAGCAAAACTTACACTAGGTTGTGAGGGACAACCAGTCCTATTCAGCTTCTAATGCCTAGGTTTAATCAGGAGTGGCAGTGTAGAGACAAGGGAGATTGACTGAACCAAGATTGCTGTAAG